ATGCTATGAAGAACTTGGCCGCCAGTGTGTGACGTCACGCATCTTGGTTTCATGTAGATTATCAGAGCACCAAATTTTTATGTAAGATACATTGTTTTATTATGCTCGATTATACTGGTTTGTTGTATGTATATCTTAACTTCGGCATGGCCGTCTGTTAGCTGCCCTGAGCTGTTGGATGGGGCGGGGGATAAATCCCCAAAATAAAATAAATAAAAATAAATACACAGATCCCTGGAGAAAATGGCTGCTTAGGAGGGTGGACTCGGTGGACTCGTATCCCACTGAGGTCCCTGTCCTCCCCAGGCTCCACCCCCCAAATCTCCAGGAGTTTCCCAACCCAGAGGGGGCACACCTATCCCTCCACGTTCCCGCTGGCGGCCGGGGAGGACCTGGCGACCCCACTTCTCACCTTCACTAAAAGGTCTCTCGCGTTTGTGTCGAGCCAGCGTGGGTAGAAGGGGTTGTCCATGCGGATCGACTGGAAGAGCTCCTCTTCGTCCTGGCCGTGGAACGGAGACTGGCCGATCAACATTTCATATAAGAGGACGCCGAAGGACCACCAGTCTACAGACACGTTGTATTTCTGTCCCAGGAGGATCTGTCATTGAAGGAAGTCGGAGATTGGAGAAAGAAGACCTGAAGGCATGAAGCTGCTTTACATTGAGCGGCTAGTAATGTCTCTTGCAGCGATCCCCAACGTGGTGCCCAGAGGGTGCTATAGTGTCCACCCAGTGTGTTTTCTGGTGTCAGGCCTGTAGTCATGGTGGGGCTTTGGGGGGCTCTGCCCCCTTTCTTAAAGGCATAACCCCACAAGACTTTTTCCTGTAAATGCTTTTTTCAATCACTTTTAAATGTTTTTTTTTAAAAAAGGAGTATGCTCCTTTAAGCAGAGTGGGGTGCTGCAGTTGACTGATTCCTGCATTGAGCAAGGGGGTTGGAGTAGGTGACCTTTAGGATCCCTTCTAACTCTGTGTCAAGAAACTGGTCTCCTTTAAGATGGTTTTTCTGCCTAAGTGTTGGCTTTCTTGACTACAGAAGTCATCGCCCCCACCTGCTGGCTTGTTACCAGAACTGTTGCTTAGGCTGGCAGAAGTGATTAACTTGCAGCAGCTGAGAACTGTCCTCTAAAGTGGTTGGCAGCTTGCAATTTAGAGATCTATCCCGATAACAGCTTTCTATTGGCTAAATGGTTAATAGGCTAAGGATGATTGCTAGCATAAGAACCCCTATGTAGAAGAGACATCTTGAGAAGACAGAGAGAGGGGAGTAGTTGAGTAATAAACCCTCAGAATTCCGGCTCTATGAAAGGCTAGTCGTGATCCCAATGACTCACCTTCTACCTGATTGGGCCAGCCTTTCAAGATCATTTGCATATGCGGGCTGATTGGGCCTCGCTCTATTACGCATGCCATCCTCTCCCTTTCTCAATTGGGGCTCACAGCTGCTGATAGACATCATAAGTGACAGGGTGAGGACGCCTACCTACCTCCGGTGCAATATAGTCGGGGGTCCCGCAGAAGGTGCTTGTCTTGTCATCCCCGAACATGTTCTCTTTGCACATCCCGAAGTCAGCGATCTTGATGTGGCCGTCCTTGTCTAACAGAACATTGTCCAGCTTCAGGTCTCTGCAAAGATAGAAGTGGGTGAGGCCCTTTCTCTGGATAGGCTACCGAGCGGAAGGGGCTTCATGACCCAGTGGGCCATGGGGTTGCCAACCTCCAGGTGGGGCCTGGAGGCCTCCTGGAATCACATCTGATTTCCATACTATGGCAATCAGTCCCCCTAGGGAAAAAGGACTGCTTTGGAGGGTGGACTCTGTGGTGTTGTGCCCCACTGAGGTCCCTGTCCTCCCCAGGCTCCGTCCATGAATCTCCAGCGATTTCCTAATTTTAACAATGTTTATAACCCTGCTGAGGTCCCAGCCCTCCCTAAATCCCCCCCTCCCCAGGATCCCCTCCTAAAACTCCCAGCAATGTCCTAATCTAGAACTAGAGTTGCCAGTCCCCTGTTCAGAGCCAGGGATTCCCCATTTTAGGGGCGCCTGCACACCTCCGGCCAGCTGGCTGGTGGGAGGAAATCCTTCACCCCAACAGGAAGAGGAGCAGCGTCCCTATGTCACCTGGAAGTGACATAGGCATGGAGGTGACGCTCTAGTTTTTGGGCAAAACTCTATGGCTTGAGGTTGATTTGACCATAGAGTTTTGCCCCCAAGGGGTGCGGGGGCTCAAGGGGTCAAGACGCTGAACTGCAGGCCGGAAGGCCGGTAGTTCAGCCGTTCGAGACCCGAGTGTGCCGCATGACGAAGTGACCTCCCGTCTCTGGCCCCGGCTCCTGCTAACCTAGCAGTCCGAAAGCAAGAAATTGTGAGTCCATAAATAGGTACCGATTCGGTGGGAAAGGGAACAGCGTTCCGTGTGCCTTGGCGTCTAGTCATGCCGGCCACGTGACCACGGAAATGTCTTCGGACAGTGCCGGCTCTTTGGCTTGGAAACGGAGAGGAGCACCGCAACCCTGGAGTCGGAGTCAACTGGCTTTCGAGCAAGGGGAACCTTGACCTTTACTTTGCCCCCAAACCGGAGCGTTGCCCCGACGTGCCTACATCCCTCGGAAGTGATGTGGGCATGGTGTGTGATGTCACTTTCAGTGACCTTTGCGCATCGGGGGTGACACTTCTGGCTCCCGGAGTGTCTCCCCATTCCCCCGCCTGCGTCTCGAAGGGACCTGGCAACCCGATCTGGAACTCGCAAACCTAGCCTAGGATTGCTAGCTCTGGGTTGGGAACTTCCTGGAGCCTGGGGACAGAGGGGTTCAGGGAGGGGTGGGATCTCAGCAGGGTATAATGCCAGGACTTTACTATAGATTTTTACAATAGCGGAGGCTGGACGACCGTCTTCTGGGT